TCTTGGTCAGTAGTCACTCCTGAGGGTACGATGACCAAAGAAAAGGGTAACTGCAGTACAAAATTTTTCCAACTCCCCAAAACTGCTGATGCCGTAAGATCCTTTGTGGGCTTAGCAGGTTTTTATAGATCTTTCATTGCCAATTTTTCTTCCATAGCTGCTCCTCTGAGTTGCTTAAGAAAGATGTTCCTTTTGTTTGGACCTTCCGTCAAGAAAGAGCATTCCAAATTTTAAAAAGAGAAGCTAACATTTGCTCCAATTTTAAAAATTTCCAGTTTTCTAAGCCCTTCTATCTGACTACTGATGCTAGTTCTATTGGCATAGGTGCCGTACTAGCTCAGAAGACCGATGGCAAGTACAACGCAGTTGCATTTGCTAGCCGAGTCCTTACGAAGGCTGAACGTAATTATACAGCAACTGAGCAAGAAGCTTTACCAATAGTATGGTCTTTAAAGCACTTCCGAGACATTATTTATCAGTACTCTGTTCATGTCTTGACAGACCACGCTCCACTGATACCTTTATTCCAGAACAAACAACCTACTGGAAGGTTAGCCAGATGGACCTTGACTATCCAAGAGTTCAATCCCACCTTTGAACACTTACCTGTAGTCGCAGATGCCTTGTCACGACATGTTAGTATAGTAACTGCAGACCCTCCATTTAGTGCTGAAGATGTAAAGAATGCTCAACGAACAGATCCCATGTTGTCTGGTGTGATTCGATTCCTGCTCCAGGAAGATCTTATTCTGACTGTGAAGCCACCAGCACCCATCAGTGACTTTGTCATGAACCAAGAATTACTGTATCGAGCAGCCGAGTTGGGTACTCCTAGCAGAAGAGTTTACCAGTTAGTAATTCCACAGTCACTATTGAATGTAGCCTTACAGCTAGTTCACGATGTACCAGGTGTTGCACACCCTGGTATGGATCGTTCAGTAAAACAAGCCAGATTGAAATACTTTTGGCCTCGTATGGCAAATGATATTTCTGAGTATGTTAAGAAATGTAGTGTCTGCATGCAAAATAAAGGTAAAAGCTAATGGCCCTAATCCCATCCAAGTGTATCCAACCACTAGCGAACCGTGGGAAAGAGTTGCGCTAGATTTGTTAACTAATTTCCAATGTTCCCTCCAAGGCAACAAACATCAATGTGTTATGGTAGACCATTTCACCAGATATTGTGAGTTATTTCCTGTTGCAGATAAGACTGCCGAGACAGTAGCTAAAGCGTTTAAAGAACGCATTATCTGCAGGCATACCACCCCTAAGTCCCTAGTAACAGATAATGGAGGTGAATTCTGTAATGAGATTCTTGAAAATTTGTGTACCTTGTACAAGATCTCTAAATCCACCATTGTATAGAATCAGCCCAAGCCGTACACCTGCCGTCTCTAGTTTGTATTAGTTGTATGTCGGGACGACATACGTTAGCGTCGCCGAGCTCTCAGTAGTAGTACCAGTTCCTAGTAACCAGTTACCAGTAACCAGTGTACCAGTAGATGACTCACTACCAACCGTCTCTGCGTGAATCACTGACTGTATTCATATTGCTGCTGACCATAGCAGGATTTCAAACACCCTCACCCGTAGGCACTATGGGTCAGTCGTAGTTAGCCAGCAGAGAGAGACAGGTCGGCTGTTGGTGCTTCCCCATACCTTCCGTTATATTATACGTACTACCAGCTTACGTGAGTATTCTTACCCCATCCACGTATCGAAAACCCACATGACACTGTCACCTACAGCTACAAACGCAAAATATAGCTACCACCCCTAATTGCAACATCCCACTGAACGGCAGCACAAGACCAGGAATTACACAGCACAGAGGAACTTCTTGCCTAAATTTTAAGCTTCGTGCCAGTCATCTACTTCAAGACCCGTCATTATACTCCGTGACCTGTCTTCCCAAGCATTTATCTGATGCTCCATGTTCACCTGCACGGTTAAGAAGCGCAACTTTCTTTTAAATTGATGTTACTTTCATTCAAGTATCTGCTGAAGAGGACCCTAGTAGGGGATCGGAATATACAAACCAATTATTTTTTGTTAGTCACCATGTGGATTATATGTCGTGCCGAATAGGTAAAAACTTGCAATTTTGGTTTAAATAGCAACGTTCTTCTTGCCGAACAAGGCAAGCGAAATTTTGTGTATGCAATAATTTCGCAAAAATCATTCTGAACCTAACGATACAAATGTTCATTATGTTTGTTTATTATTAAACTATTGTAAACTTGTCTAAAATATATTTAGTTGAATTAGGTTAAATTAAATTGCGCTTGTTATAATAAGGTTAGTTAAGTTTTCTATTTTTTTTCGTAAAAAAATATTAATTTTCACATTAATATAAATAAAAAAAATATATTTTTAAATGTATAAGAGAACATTTTACAAGACTTAATTTTAAATGAGCTTTTGCTAACTGACCAGTTTTACCTATTCTGTGTGTGTGTGGTGGTGTGTGTGTGTGTGTGTGTGTGTGTGTGTGTGTGTGTGTGTGTGTGTGTGTGCTCGTTAATAACATCAGAAAGCTGAGACCTACGACCTTGAGAACAAAGTACGCAGTACTATACACCAACCAAGCCAAGACTCGCATGAATTAGGTCTATGCTCCAGAGCCGGTGGTACTAGGCAGTGATCAGCATTTGTGTGTACAAGCGTGCGTTAGTGTTGCATTCATAGAAAATTATTAAAGATTCACAATAACGAGCATAAGCGTTATTCCCTGAAACACAAAAATATAGATGAAACGTACATTCCGCGCTTGCTACTGCATTCAATAAATGATGACTAAGAAATGTACTTTTGTGTATATATGCAACATATAATACCCTCTCAACAAAAATAAATGCCCGTACATATATACAAATGGCGTACACTCCAGGTGGTTTGAATCAGTGTCTATACATTTATTGTATTGGTGTAAGCAACCATAATGGCCCTCGTGTAGTCGATAGACTTTCAATCAAGTAAATAGCCAGTCATATAAATATACACGCGATTTCTCACAGTTACTTGCATGCTCGGGGAACGATCTTGTAAAAAAAAAGGTGCCTCCTTGAGGTTATTTGGGGAAAACATTGTAAGAAAACAGTGGTGGGGTTGTGTCATTACTTACCACCAGACCAGAATGACTAGCCCATCAAAGATACTGTATACTTTCACCTTCATTACCTCTTTTGTTTGTTTTATGACGTATGAATTATTATACAATGAAAGTGCAAATATCCTGAGTCCCACGTACCGGATATTTCATGTAGTTTGCCGGATGAATGACTTGGGAAATGACTCAGCCATTCAGGAAAAACCGAAAACATGAAAATTCTACTCTACGCTTTCACTATTGTCATGGCAGAACTTATAGGTATCTATAGCACTTGAGGATTGGGAGGCAATCAGGTTGATCCAAGGTAAGGGGAGCTCTTTGCCGCCGTCAAGGCACTCTTTTAAAGCATGTATTTCTTTAATATTCTGCTAACTACGAAACAAAACGTTTGTCACTAACTTACCAAAATTAATTCTGTTGACTGGTGCGGGTCCCTGACCGTCTTTTCTCCAGGGCGTACTCCCACAGGCGGATGAACGATGCTGCTTTTTCCAGTCAATGCATTTCCTTTTATTTCGTCGGAAATTGTTGGGATAGTGGTAAAAGGTAGTTGGGCAACTACTGCAGTAACTAAGAGCCCGAGAGCAGCAGAGAGCGATGACACACTCATGATTCCCTCCAGTGAGGAAAGATCTGGAAGAGTCTGTGAGAGAGCAGAGTTAAACAAAACACCAGACTGTTGGAAAAGAGGGAAGGAGCGCTTTCGCACTACCCAACTACGCAGTCTCTGGTGTGTGACTGGGGACTCCTGGACCGCAGGGCGGACCACTGATGCCTCCACCATTGTGTAGTGTTGCAAGATTCTGTCGATTCATCGTCTTAAGAGAATAGCAGAGTTATAAATCTGGAACCTGCCGCTGGGGATGTTATTTATGGGAATAACTTTGTCTCTCGTCTCCGACATATTAATAAGCAAGCTTCCATCACGGGAGGTGCTTTGATACTGGTGAGCGGCTCTTGACACGAGGAACTGAACTGCTCTCCTCTCGTTCCCAAAATGCTGTATGGCCCCTATGGATTAGCACCTGGAGGTTACCTGGAGATTATTCCGGGGATCAACGCCCCCGCGGCCCGGTCCATGACCAGTTCCTCCCGGTGGATCAGGGCCTGATCAACCAGGCTGTTTACTGCTGGCCGCACGTAGTCCAACGTACGAGCACAGCCCGGCTGATCCGGCACTGACTTTAGGTATTTGTCCAGCTCTCTCTTGAAGGCAGCCAGGGGTTTATTGGTAATTCCCCTAATTCTTGATGGGAGGCTGTTGAACAGTCTTGGGCCCCGGACACTCATGGTGTTTTGTCTTAGTGTACCAATGGCGCCCCTACTTTTAATTGGGGGTATTTTGCATCGCCTGCCCAGTCTTTTACTTTCGTAGGGAGTGATCTGTGTATGCAGATTCGGGACCATTCCTTCCAGGATTTTCCAAGTGTAGATTATGATATATCTCTCCTGCGTTCCAGCGAGTACAAGTCAAGTGCTTCCAAGCGTTCCCAGTAGTTAAGGTGCTTGACAGAACTTTACGTGCAGTAAAGGATCTCTGTACACTCTCTAGATCTGCAATTTCATCTGCTTTGAATGGAGATGTTAATGTACAGCAGTATTCCAGCCTAGAGAGAACAAGTGATTTGAAAAGGATCATCATTGGCTTGGCATCTCTCGTTCTGAATGTTCTCATTATCCATCCTATCATTTTCTTTGCACTTGTGATAGTGGCACTGTTGTGATCCTTGAAAGAGAGATCCTCAGACATTACTACTCCTAGGTTCCTTACATTATTTTTTCCGCTCTGTTGTATGACCAGAGTTTGTAGTATACTCTGTTCTAGTTATTATCTCCTCCAGTTTTCAATAATGGAGTAGTTGGAATTTGTCCTCATTCAACATCATATTGTTTTCCGTTGACCACTGGAAAACTTTGTTTATATCTTCTTGGAGGTTAACCGCGTTCTCAGCAGATGACAGCCTTATGCAGATCCTAGTGTCATCCGCAAAGGATGATACGGTGCTGTGATGTATATCTCTGTCTATGTCTGATATGAGGATGAGGAATAAGATGGGGGCGAGTACTGTGCCTTGTGGAACAGAGCTCTTCACTATGGCAGCCTCTATGGCACATCTCATGAATATAATAATTTTACATAATTAAAGCTGGTCGACGGTGGATTATATATAACATGTCAAACACGACACAAAATAAGCATTTGCTACCTGAGGTAAAGGTCCGGAATGATTATAAAATGTAGAAATTTGTAAAAGCAAAATTAGCATCTCCAGCAATTGGAATGAACAATTCATCAAAGTTTACTGAGTAAACTGTTAGAAAGTCTCCACCAGTACCCTCCTCACTGTCACAATTCCTCTCCCAGCTTCCACTAATTACCACTACAAACAACTTCAGTGCCATCACTACCACTACATTCACAGCTAGTCACCAGCTAAGTCACTATTTGAGTTTTCAGCTCAGTCTCTTGCAGTGATCACCACCAATGATCAACAAAGTCACCAACAGTTTTCCCTGCAGAGCCATCACCACTCACTACTAGGGCCAACACTACACCATCAATGCTTCCATAATTACCAAAATTCACCAACATAGTTGATGAATAAGACATGTGAACACCTGGACATGCTTATTTCACTCACCAGGGCTTTATAAATCTACTTCAGAGACATTAAAAAGGAGACAGTATGAGAAGCAGCCACAGTAGTAGTGAACAGGTAAGCTAATGTCACTACTACTACTACTACTACTACTACTACTATTATTATTTGTCCACTCTATTATGTATTTTCTTTGATATTCTGTGACCGAGTGATAAAGCCTACGATGGACTAAGCGTCTCTCAACTAAAGATACCTATGTAGGTGTTGTATATGTATCTTATTCATCAACTTGCTAGTACTGTATACCATTGATTTAATTACCATCAGAGTTTTTGACTAGTAACCATTAGCCACCAGTACTAACTACAAGGGATACTACAGCTACCACTACACACTTAAAGTATTACTCATTTATGTAAAAGTTTTTTCCACTTTGAAGTACAGTATTATGCAATACGTATATTTGAACTGTGGATACATAAAAGGTTAGATATAAGGTAAGATAGAATATTTTTTCTTGATCATATTTACAGTGCCTTCTTTGTAATTATCACAACCTATTAAATATGTGTTAACAAGTTTTGTACCTCACAAAGCAAATCTATTTAAAGAAAGAAATGCATATCAGAAAAGCTGGGTTTTGGGAATAATGTCTTCGAAGGTGAGCTTGGGTTATTTGGTTGTATGACATAGGCAGTGTGTTGGTGCAAGCCCCAAGCTCGGTCAAAGACTTGTGAAGAGAGTTGGGTGGGGAGGTCTTAGCTTCTCTGGGTCTGTCGAGTTAGTGAGGAGATACAGGGTCTGGTGGGCTGGGCTCTAGATTGAACCCGGCCCAACAGATGGCAGCACAAAGCCTAGGGTGTCATGGCGCGAAATGCAATGCCATACAGAGGTTATATTGCTCGGGTATGCTACATACAGTTGTTCCAACCGTGAGAGATGATGGATAAAAACTCTCGTAAGTAGCAGAGCACTGGCGTGGATAGTAAGAAAGAAAAGGGGGTGTCCCAAAAATGGTGTGGGCTGAGTATTGAGCCACGGCAGGGCGCCATACCAAGCAGGAACTTTGGCTGGAGGAAGATGCTAAACTTGAACTGCAACTGCAGACTGTGTGACACTTCAGGAGATATCGGTGCGGCTGAGTGGAGTAGCCATGCAGGGTCCTCGACTAGAAAAGTGAAGCAGGGCAGTCACCAGGGTAATATCTGCAGGGATTGCTCTAGCAGCGGCACAAACCTGATGGTGCCAGCGAGTGGGACATTGCGGAAATGAGAGCCTGCAGACTGTGTGACACGCCAGGAGACATCTCTGTGGCTGAGTGGGGTAGCCATGCAAGGTCCTTGACTGTATCTGTGACAGGGTAGTCGTGGCAGTATTGTTCATACGGCGGCATGACCTAGTGGTGCCGGAGAGTGATGCATTGTGAAGATGACTTTGACTTAGTGAGCCGTAAGGACGACTCAAGCGAAATTGCCTTCAGCGATGCTGGTCGAGGTGGTTACTGCCAAAGAATGTCACTGCATGGAAGAGTCATGGGCAAAACGACTCAGGTAGGGGATCGAAATGGGACCCCGGCAAGAAAAAATTTGTTTCTGTACAGGTTTGCGGGTTTTGACTATAAAATGTGCCGGGAGTGACTAAAAAATTAAAATTTAGAAAAAGGGGGTTACCTAAAGGGTTTTGATTTGTACCCTGAGGAACTTGTTCCCTTTAGTCGGGAACAGACCAAACAGCAAAACGCTACTCATCCACGACAAAAACCTTTGGAGTATTTTTGGTTTCAAGGGGGTTTTTGACGCCCAAAAAAGCTGAAACCCCCTGTGCAAAAATGGACACAAGGGGCACTTTAAAACAGCAAAAAGGGGGTTTCCAAGAAAACCCGGGAAAGGAGAAACTAACGAGGGGCCAAAACCCATTTTACCCATAGTCTCAAAAGGGCCCCAGCAACAGTAACATTTTAAAACATTTTATGTTGTTTTTAAATTTTTCCATGGGGATTTTTTAAAAAAACGGTAAAATATTTAAAATCGCTAACAATTATATAAAAAAGGTAACACTGAAAACACATAACCCGGACGCCCTGTGAACGTGGACCCAGGGAGGTCAGCAGAAAACTTGGTGGGAGCGCTCCCGGTGTACCCCATGGGTGATTTTAATTTTTGACGTCTTTGGTGTGACTTTCATGGTGTGACACGGGGCGGGGACAACAGAGGGGTGCCGTTTCCCGTGACTTTGGAGGTGGATGTAGCTTTACATTTGTGAGGTGAAAAGCAATAGCAAATTGACACGGAAATTACAAAGAAAACAGCGAAAGGGAAAATTTTAGAATCTGTTTTGTTTTATGTTCCCCTTTTGTAAACCCGACATTTGTCGTTTAGAAATTTTGGCCTGCCCCGTTTTTTGCTTGGGGTTTGTGTGTTCTGTTGTGCACCATAAAATTGGGGGGTTGGGCCGGGGAGTCGAGTCTTTTGGGGCCCCAAAGCCCCCTCGGTTAGTTACCATTTTTGTAAAAGGGGTATTTGTCGATGGGCACTTGACCTTTTGGGCCTGTATTTTGGGTGATGTGTTAATTTTGTACGTGCGTGGGGAAAGCGTGTTTACCCCACCAAATTTGGGGTGATTGCGGGGGCCCCGATCCCAGCTCATAGCCCCGCCCCCTTCACGGGCCCGCTACTGGGTTAAACACTTTCCCTGTCCATGAACGTTATCAAAACCTTTTCCCTTAAACTATGTAGGGGATCCTGCCCCCACTACATTTCCCAGAAAATTTCCCTGCTTTCTGACAACTCTTGACGAAGGAATAGTTCCGGACAATCCCTGGGGCTCAGCTAAAGTTTTAAAAACTTTCAATTGTGACCCCATTTTTCCTGTTCCCTTTTTCGGGGAACCCTCCTGCCCCCCCTGTCCCCCCTTTCGTTTCCCCTTCAGTTTTTTAAAGTCTTTTATCATAAATTTTTTTTCCCCCCCCCCACCCCCCTCCCCTTTTCTCCATTATCGCGGGATCGATTTTTTTTAAAACCTCTCCTCGAACGACATGCCC